GTGGGTCAGCCCCTCTAACACTGCATGTAGTTGCAGCTCTCAGGGCTTCTTTCTTGGGCTGGCCCTGCTCCTTCCTTGGAGCTTTCCTCAGATGATTCACATTCCTGGCTTCTCCAACCTTTTGGGGTCTCCAGTGTACCTTTCGCTTCACACTCGCAGCTTTACACACTGCCCTCTCAGAGGCACACAGCCTGGCCTCCCAGGCTTGCTTCTGAAATCCTGAGTGGAGGCTTTCCTGACCCTACAACTCTTCTATTCTGTATGTGCCTAAAACCAGCACCACATGGATGATACCAAGGTCTGCTGTTAGCTGGAGCAGTGGAGAGGCTTCCTTCTCTCTTAGCTGTAGGGATCAAGTGCATGATTGCTGACCACTATGAACCTAAAACCGAGGAACAAACTCTCTAGGTCACCACCATTCTGGAACATGGTACTCTGGGGCTCTTTTCTCAAAGCAAAGTCTTTCATCTTTGCAATTTTGGGGCTGCAAAGGCTGGGGTCCTGCTGGTTCTTGTGATGTCATTGGGCTATCTTTTCTATCATTTTGGTCCTTCTCAGCAACCAATTTTTCCTCTTCTCCATCTTTGTAGTTTGCAACTTTACTGGCACTTCCTTTCTGGCCAAAGTCAAACATTTTAAATCATTGTCCTGGACTCTTTGCTCTTGATTTTCAACATAGATCTGGCTAAAAGTCTCTAACAGTAGCCATGCAACATTATATTGCCTTGAAATTTCTTCCGTAATATTAATTGGTAGACTGCCTTTACTCTCAGCCTCAGGTAGTCTCTGGACATGAGCAAAATGTAGATAAACATAACACACATCATCAGAATTCAACAGCCAATACAGTCCTTCCCAATAGAAATCTCCTGAGCCTGGTATTTATCAGCAGCATTTCTATCAGCATTCTGGTCTCCTGAACTATGACCAGAATCTCCCATCAAGTACAACTTAAAGCATTTCAAGGCCAGCATCTCCAAACCTTTCCAAACTCTTCCCAGAAGCCAGTTCCAAGGACTCCTGAACCACATGGTCAGGTAAGGTCACAGCAATGATCCACTATCAGTACCAAAATTTGTCTTAGTGACTTTCTCATTGCTGAAAATACCTAACACCCAAAGTTAAAAGAGAAGGGTTTATTGTCTTTCACAGTTTTTAGAGGTTTCAGTTAATAGTTGGCTGGCTTTAAGGCAGGGTAGCATGGCAGATGAATATCACAGAGGAGAAACAGTTGATGGCAGGCAGAAGGTAGCAAACAGCAACACAGCAGAAGCAGCAGTAGCCCAGTCTTGCCTTTTTTTTTAAAAAAAAATCTTACTGAGTTTATTGGTACTTTTAAAGTATACACTACAGTTACACTCATCATTGAGATCTTGTACCCTTACGTGACAGACCTTGGTTCTCAATTTTCCCCCATACCCCTGCCCTCCCTTCACGCCCTCCACCCTCCCCTATTTACAAACACTTAAGTCTTGCCCTTTTACAATAACTTTCTTTGGGCAACTAACTGAGGTCTCATGAGAGCTACTTTATTCCCTTTGACAATGACCCTAATGACTTAAGCACCTTTGCTAGGCTTGACTTCTTAAAGATCTGACTACCTCTTAATATTAATACCTGGTAACCAAACTTCTAAAACAGGAACCTTGGGGGATGATTCATATCTAAATCAAAGAACCTTGAATTTGTATGTTTTGGAACATGTACTCCTTCCTACCTGCTCTTCCTCCTATCCTGCATACCTTGTCCTCACACTCCCCTAGCAGAAGGCTGGCCACAATGGTATCCACCACCCATCTGGCTGCTCTGTCCTGGGAGGAGAGGCCAGAGGCACAAACAGCAGCCAAGATGGGGCTGACTGCAGGATCCAGGGTTCCCCTAGAGCCTACTCTTCCAGTGGCCCATTTATCCCTTATTATGGGTGTTTGTGAACTCACCAGACAATTGTAGGCAAGTGCTTTCAGGAAGCTCTGATTCATTAAGTCCACAGCACTTTGCCTAATCTTCTCATCTGAAAACTTATCAAACAATAGACTGAATGAACATCTCCAGACTTGGCTCCTTAGCTCATTCATGCTTCTCTTAGCAATCAGGGCTTCATGAAGGGCTAAAAAGCTACCCCAGTCATTATATATCTGGGACTTTCCTGCTCCTCACTCTGGGCTTGCAAGATCCCTCCAACCCATGGATGGAGGCAGACACTGCCTATTTAGGGGAGAAAGGGCGATAGTTTGCTAGGAGCAGGAGACACAGACCATCCTGTGTACAGGGAGAGGCACAGGAATGGTCTGTACTGTGCGTCATTGCCCGGGACAGGAATGGAACCAGCAGGCAAGTGACCAGTCTGACCACAAAGGTTCAAGGCAGTCACTGGGCATGGTATTGTAATTGTTCAGGGACAAAGGTTAAAGTGATGGAATGCATCACAGCAGGCACTTTGGAGTTCATCCAATTTAGTTACACAATTGCCAGACCTGGTAAAGCAGAGCCTTCCTACCTCACAGCACTTGAATGGAAACCCCAGGTTGGAGTCATACACATGCTCACACACACACACTCACACCCATGCATGTATGTTCTGTACATCTGTCTTCAGCCTCCATTTTCATCAGTTGGGATGTGTAGGAGATGCACATGTTAGAGTCATATCAAACACATTCTCAGATACAATTTAATTTTGCATGGGAAATCATTTCCAGGAAAATACATGTGCTATTTCTGACTTCATATGTATGAATTCAGACACCCCAGAGTTCTGCAAATACCTTGCGTAACAACACAATTGCTGTGATTATGTCTTCTGTTAGCTTTAATGTTGAAAGCTCTGGGCTTGGCTGAGTGAATTCAATGCTCCAGAGTTTTAGCGATTTTCCATTCCGGTACTGAATTTTTGTTGTCAACTATGACTGTTTTCCCTGAACTCTGTGGGAGAGTTAAACAGTGGGCAAAACCCAAGCAAGAGTGCGGTATGCACGTATGTTAGTGTGTGTGTGCGAGTGTGTGTGCACCTGTGCCTTTGTGTGTGTGTGTGTGTGTGAAAGCTTCCTTATGTTAACTAAACTGAAGGTTACTGACATTTTTCTCCATGCTGAATTGTGGCAAGGAGGAAGAGAGAAGAAATCATCTGAGTGGGAAAGTGCCTGAAAAATCCTTGTAAGGAAATCTCTTCACTGCTCAGCAAAGACAGTTAGCTGAACTGCTCGGAGAAAGATCAGGTAATGAACTCCTACTTGAGAAATGGGTTAGGCTTTCCGACCATGAATACTGGGATTGCTGCAATCAAGGGCTGTGACTTCCTGAGCTGGCTCCTTGCTTCTGGCCTGGCCCCCTGGGAAGCTAGAAGCATGTCTGGAATGAGACATCACTCCTCCAGCATTCGCTTCTGGCCTGTAGCTGGGGACATCTGTGCGCACGCGTGTGTGTGTGTGTGTGTGTGTGTGTGTGTGTGTGTGTGTGACCAGGCGTGCCGGGGACAGCACCAGTGGGTGCTTGTCTGGATGCTGCAGTCCCTGCAGCTTCTCTTCTCACCTCATGACCTCCTGGTGTCTGCCTAGCACCTCCCTGCTGGGTCTCTCTTCTTTTGGGGAGGAAGCATAAAGGGAGGGAAATAGAAACTGGAATGGGAGAAAGAGGGGGAGAATGGAAGAGGGAAGAAAGGAGGCAAAAGGGGTTGAAGGGGAAGGAGTTGCTGGGGAGGTGGAATCCTGGACACAAGAGGAGGACAGGGAGAGGCAGGGCAGGAACTCGGCAAGCTGCTTGGGGAGGACCCACACTTGCTCTCCGGGCACCTTGGGCTGCAGACCTCTGGAGACCTGACTCACAGGCTTGACTTTAAAACCCCTGCTGAGGACCTCCTGGGTCCATCCCTGAGCAGGAAGGGCCCTGCCCTGTCAAGCACCTTCTCTGCTGTTTTCAGAAGCCCCTCCTGGATGTGTGGGCTTCCTTATCAAGCTGGCCATCCCCTGTCTAAGCAGGTGCCAGCTCTGTGCATGTCCATGTGGTGGGAGAGCTTTGCCCCAGTGTGTCTACCCCTGATCCTTGGACATGTCACTGGGTTGAGGGTGGAGGCGGCCATCCCAGGCCTCTGTTTCTCCACATGGAGAAAAGGCGGGAAGCTTCACAGCCTGTGGGAGACATCTTAGGAGTCTTGGTGAGGCTGCAGGTCTTCAGCAGCACACACAGCAGAGCTGGGTTCAAACCGTCAGCACAGTTGCTGTGGGACAACTGCCCAGAACCTTAAGAAGATCTGTTTATTCTTAGCATTGTTCACATCCCTGTCCAGGGCTAAATGGGAACATTTGGCCTCTTAGTGAAAGGTCATAATCTGCCAGCTAATCACAGCTTCGCGGTAGGAGGCTAGCATGGAACTTCCTGGGGAGAGGAGGCCAGGAAGTATGGGACATGGTTGCTGGGAAATGGCCCAGTCCCTGAGCAGATAGGCCCTGTTCCCAAATGCATCACGCTGGATCGCGGGAGACACCAGTGGAGAAACCCAGACTGGGCATCACCCCATCTCCACCCCTCCCTGGCTCAGGGAACTTGGGAAAGGCACTTTCTTAGCTGCTTCATGTGTAAAATGACACCAAAGTGCTGGTACTTTCTAGAAGAAGCCTGGTGTGGGTCAGAGCCGGGAGAAGCACACAGAGGCAAAGAGCAGGTGGGCACAGCTGGGCAGGGTGGCCTCCATAGGAGGAGAGAAAGTGTAGCTCAGGGATGCAGAGGCAGCACAGAGAGCAGTGTCAGTGATGTCTTCTGGAATCCTTGAGCTCAGCACGGAGCTCCTCAGACAGGGTGATGACCACAGCTTGCAGGGCCTGGGCTTCCGGAGTGGGAGATCTGTTGTTTTCTCCCATGCTGTGGGCTTTGGCTGCACCCTATCCTACACTGGGAGCTGTCACAGAGATGCAGGCATAGGAGGGGCCTGACAGCCCCGTCTCCCTTGGGTGGATCTAACTGGTGTATGTGGGAGATGGAGGCTCTGGGTCAGCTCCAGCCCCATGTCCCACAGTGCCACCAAGGAGTGGTTAATGGGTCACCCCACCTCTGGGGTGCAGGGAAGAAATTCTTCCAGCACCCTTGGGGTGCATGGCTGGGATGTGGGCACCATCACCAAGGTCCAGGTTTGGAACCTGAGCTGAATGGGACGGGGGTTGTGTGACATTGCTGGGAGGCCCTGTGCAGATGCCCCCGGGACAGACTGGGACATACAGGCTGGGCAGAGGGGGAGGGCTTGAGACTCCAGGCCTGGCTGGGCTCTGATGGTGGGGGCACTGTTAGCAGCTGCCTCCAGGCCTGGTGTAAGATTGTATCAGGGAGAGCTGGCCTTGTGAAATGTGGGAGGTGATCTGCAGCAAAGGTTATTGGGATTTCGTAAGGGTTTGGCACATTTGCTGAGTGAATCTGGCTGCCTGCCCAGCACTGAGTTTCCTGTTCACAGTTCCCCAGATTTGTCACTGCTGAAGGATTAAAGCCCCAAGAGGCTCTGACAAAGGCGTCTCCTGGAGCCCACTTTCTCTGGGTCGCCTGACAAGATGTGAGCTGTCACTCGCGTGTGACACAGATCTGACCCAAGCTCTCTCGCAGAGGGAGAGAAGAATTAGCAATGTCTTCCGGGGCTGGCTTCAAAATTCACTTTTGGTTTTAACAACCAGCCTGAAGCTGTCAGGCTTCACCAGAGGGGAGAAGCCCTTTCAGGCTATCCCGAGCATTTCCATCTCTGCCCAGGCCAGCCATCTCCAATCCCGCCACGATGAAGAGCCTGGAAGGTAAGAAAGAAGAGGAATTTCACTTGAAGTTTTTTATTTTTGTATTTTACCTCTTTTTTTAAAAAAATATTTTTTGGTGTGTGTAGGGGGTCTTACTTGCACACTGAAGAAGTATTTAGGAGACACAAAAGGAATCAGATGAAAGAATGCTCTATGCTGTTGGCTGGTAAAAGGATGTGGGGATTTCTCAGGCTGTGTGGGTATGAGTGGTAGGAAGAGTTCACCTGGGATCAGCTGTGTGCTCTTCTCTAGAAGATTAACCATGAAATACATGGGAACTATATTTGATAGTTGCCCACTACTTACAAAGCCTACTGGTTGTGTGTGTCTTTGGTAAGTGTTGAGGACTGTAGAATGACAGGCCTAGAAGGTAAGGCCTTTTATAACACTGTGTGGATTCTAGAATTAAGACATTTTTATCACTTTCTGTTAAGCATCTACAATTTTAGAGGGACATAGTCTCACTCAAAGCTTCACTGATTGAATTGTTTATTTTATTTTTGTTTTTATTTTTGGTGGTACTGGGGTGGAACCCAGGGACTCATGCATGTGAGGTGAGATTTTTTATCTTTTTTTTTTTTTGGTATTGGGGATCGAACTTCGGTCCTTTTGCTTGCAAGGCAGATGGCAGAACCACTGAGCTAAATCCCTGGCCCGAGATTTTTCATCTTTTTAAAGTGCCATGACTGAACTACATCCCCAGCCCCCCTTTTTTTAAAGGGCCTCACTAAGTTGCCCAAGTCGGCCCCTAACTCGTGAGCCTCCTACTCCAGCCTCCTAAATAGCTGGGAACACAGGCCATCCATCATGCTTGGCATTGTTATTATTAGCTGCTTCTATTTATTGTTAGCATGCATTTTATTTGCAACACTTGTATGTGCGTCATTCAATACAGGCTTAAAACATAACCTTAAAAACATATGCTTGTCTGAGTTTTGGAGACTTTGCAAATGTTACACCTATGGCTATAGAGGTGACTATGCACTCAGAGGAGGATTATTGTAAGCACTGCCTCATTTTTGATATTGGACCATCTGACCTCCATAATTTCCATCAGTATTGTTGTTTGGGAAAGACAAGAAAATGGGACAGAGTCAGAAAGGTTAAGGAAAGCAAATGAGGAAAAGGAAAAAGGAGAAAAAGAGGTTCACTATTCAGTTTAATCCATACCTTCTTATTGTACTTGGGCCCAGTGCCACTTTCCTGCTATTTGTGACTGTGCCAGTCTCTGGATGCTGCGGGAAGGGAGCTGGGAAAGATACAGTAGTGGCAATGGGTTTGCCAAGTCACAGTTTCACCCCAGAAGCACCTGGAGGCAGTGTGTGTATGTTCCATGCCAAGGACTTGTGTTCGTGGCAAGTGTGTTGATCTGTTGGGAAAAGAAAGGCACCGAAATTGCCCAGGAAGACTTGAAAATTGTTCCTGAGATGAAAGTGGTCTTTCTAATAGAGCAGTGAGGTTCATAGATTTTTCCCACCTTTCACAATGTATCATGCAATTGTTAAGTCTTCGAACCCACAAACCCTGCTGGGAAACAGCCCTTGACTTGGAAAAACTTGGCAACCATGGTTAAAGAATGGAGATGCACTTCTAAAATTTTTCCTTTAAAAACTTAAACTAACAGCACAGACTCATTGTCAAAAATAAGCATTTCAAAATGCATATAGATAATCTAAAAAGATGAAAAATAAAACGCCATCACTGAGAAAATCACTCCCAGTTCAGCATCTCTAATCTGAAAATCTAAGCCCCAAATGCTCTGGCCCAATTTCAGACATTTCTGACTTCTGGATCATTAGTTAAGGCTATGCAAAATTTCCCAAATCTACAAAATTCCTAGACCTGAAATACTTTTGGCCCCAAGTGCTTATGATAAGAGAGACTCACTGTGTCCTTTAATAGTTTGGTGGTGTCCTTTTCTCTGAGCGTATTTGCATTTAGAAGAAATACCTTCGGATCATAGTGCTGTGTTATCAGCTGCATTTACCTCTCGGCAGTGCATTGTGAGCAGCTTTCCAGAGCGGTGCGTTTCCCTTCACAAAGGCCTTTAGTCACATTGCATGATTTGTTAAATCCTCTTGGCAAATATTTAGTTATTTTCTGTTTTCAACAGCGGGAAAGCTAACACCCTTGTAGCTGTATCTTCCTAACTCTTCATGAATATTTGCTTGGGATACATTTCCAGAAGTGGGAATGTCAGAAGGTGTGGACATTTTCCACGTTGTTGAACTCTGGCTAGGCTCATTTTTGGAACGTGCATAGGTTGATGTTGTCTGCCAGCACCTTGTGAATTCCATTTCCCAACATTCTCTCCACCACTGGGCTTTGCCATTCTTTTAAAATCTACTAATCTAGATAGTTGCCAAAGGGTATTTTGTCAACTTAATTTACTTCAAGGAAATCTTTTGTGAAACCTCTGGCTTCTATTCATTCTCTGCAGGCTCAGCTTTTTATTTTTAATTTTTTTGGTTACTCATTGCCAAAGCAGTCACCTTTTATCGTAACTTCTGCCAACCTAATTTCTGAGGTCGGTGACCTCATTTGCTATCTCAGAAAGTGTGCTGGTGGAGGTGAGGAGTGGTCATGTGCTTTTACTTTGACTTTGTACTTATGAACCACCCAGGGCAAACCTCATCTGTATGATTTTATCTCCCTTTTCAGTTACAAAATTTAAAGAAGCCAGGTACATCTCTAGTCCCAGATACTTGGGAGGCTGAGGCAGGAGGCTTGCTTGAGCCCAGGAATGAGAGACCAGCCTGGGCAAAACAGTAAGAACCTGTCTCAAAAAAAATTTTGTTTTTAGAGAGAAAGCCCAACCTCTCCGCACCACAAAACAGCAATGGGAATAAAAAGAGACAAGATAGAGGGAGCTTTAAAAAAAAACAACAGAAAAAAGCTTAAAAAATGCATAACAATATTATTGCTGATACCATAGGTTGAATACACCTTAACCAGAAATGCTTGAAACCAGAAGTGGTTCAGTTTTGTGGTTTTTTCAGATTTTGAATATTTGCATAGATTTTACTGATTGAGTGTTCATAATTTGAAAAATCTCAAACCCAAGATGTTCAAACATTTCAAATATGTTTTCATCATGTTGGTGCTCAAAAAGTTTCAGATTTTGAGCACTTTGGATTTCAGATTTTTGGATTGGGGACACTTATCCTGTATAAAGATTATAGGTGGTCTCACCTTCTAAAATATAGCTCATGGGCAGATGCATGCTAAAATTTGAACATTGTCTTCTTTTAAATTTAGAAACTCGGTGTGTGCGTGCGTGCGTGCGTGCGTGTGTATGTGTGTGTGTGTGTAACAACATACTTCTTAGGGGCTGGGGATTTAGCTCAGTTGTTCCACTACCTGCCTTGCAAACGCAAGGTCCCAAGTTCAATCCCTGAGACCTCCCCCGCAAACAACAACAACAACAACAAAAATAAAACCCCAAAACATACTTCTTAGTTCTGAGATTGAGCAGCCGTGTTTAGTGTGTTGCTGCAGCACAAAGAACTTCAGACTCACGGAGGCTCCTGCTCTGTGGTGCCTTTGTCCCCCTGCCTGCGGGACACCGTGTCCTCCCTCTCACTCTGCATCGCCATTACCCACAGCTTTACTGTGGTGGACAGAGCATTGTGGGAGGGCAGGGGCTGGGTTGGTGCGTACTTCTTTCTCCACGGCCTCACCCGGGGGAAGCTCAATAAATGTTTCTTGAATGAGTCTAGTTAAGGGAGGTAGGATACATTATTGGGATCTTGTACCTTTACATGACAGATCTTGGTTCTCATTTTTTTTCCCCTTGTCCGAGCCCTCCCTTCACCCCCTCCTCCACTCCCCATTTACAAACACATTATTTCCATTTTTTCATTTTGTTTTTTTGAGAAAGGGTCTCACTGTGTAGTTGAGACTAACCTGGAACTCACTCTGTAGGTTGGTGTTGAACTCACAGCGATCTTCCTGCCTCAGCCTCCCGAGTGCTGGGATTACAGGCATGCACCACCATGCTTGGCCTCTGAAAGGAATTATAGGAATTCTAAAATCAATCCTAGGGAGTTTGTGTGTGTGTGTGTGTGTGTAAATGGATTATTCGTTGAGATTAATTTGGGGTGGGTTTCACTTCCTATTGAGTAAATTCTGGGGTGTGTGAGAGCGTGTGCGAGCTCGCTTGCGTGTGTGTGTGTGTTCCTGTGGTGTTGAGAAAGAACTCAGAGCCTCTGTCCAACTTGCTTGGCAAGTGCTCTGCCACTAAGCTATAGCCCCAGCTCTTCTACTGAGTAAATTTCTAATGAATATTATGAAGCAAATGAATGGAATTTGCAGGTAGTTCAGCAGAGTAGAGACCACAGTCTGTGTGAGTATCAGTCTCCTGGACTTTGCCAGAGAATCTTTAAGGGGACAGGGGCCAAAGATTTGTACCAACCCCAGCTGAGAGCTGCACTGTAAAAATCCAGGCCAAACTCATGTTTAAGAATTGGTTTAAACCTGGCTTCGAGTAATAATAGCAATAACTAGTATTTAAGTGAAAACTTATTATTTTGAGGCCTGGTTCTAAGGGCCTCATACTCACTTTGGAAGTGGTCATTATTATTATCTTAATTTACAGATTAGGAGGGGCAGCCCAGATAAGTGACTGTCCTAAAGTCACATTGAGTAAATTTCTAATGAATATTATGAAGCAAATGAATGGAATTTGCAGGTAGTCCAGCAGAGTAGAGACCACAGTCTGTGTGAGTATCAGTCTCCTGGACTTTACCAGAGAATCTTTAAGGGGAGAGGGGCCAAAGATTTGTACCAACCCCAGCTGAGAGCTGCACTGTAAAAATCCAGGCCAAATTCATGTTTAAGAATTGGTTTAAACCTGGCTTCGAGTAATAATAGCAATAACTAGTATTTAAGTGAAAACTTATTATTTCGAGGCCTGGTTCTAAGGGCCTCATACTCACTTTGGAAGTGGTCATTATTATTATCTTAATTTACAGATTAGGAGGGGCAGCCCAGATAAGTGA